ACAGCTGGTAGGGACTACAACAAGTTACTTCCCGGGTTTGTGACATCACAAACCCTGATAAACCCCGCCCTCGGGAAAAGGCAGCAAAGGGGGCAAGGCCATGCTGCACTGCTTTAGAGAAGAGGAAGAGAAAGATGTGCACGTAAAAATCTGTTCATATATGAATCGTGATTCTGTCTTCTAACGATTCTAATGGATTCACAAGTTTCAAAACCAATGTTCTAAAGCAGCGGTTATCAATCCTGTTCCTCGCGTCGCCCTGCTCTGCACATGCTCTGCATCTCTCTCTCTCTTTCTCTCTCTCTCATTCAGATCGTCAGATCAGCTCCCACAAACTGTTCCATTTATACACTTATTTTCACATAGCTATGAGAAGCGTTACGTTTTTTAAAAAACGAAGCATGAACACGTTAGACTGCACCCCATAAACACAATCAAGCCTAGAAAAAAAACAGTCAACCACCCCTTTAAGGTGTATTAACTTTCAACCATTGCTTCTATCCAAAGAAAATGAGTCCATAATCCATAATGACATACTACCATAACAAAATTAACAATTCGTCTAACTCTCGCATGCTCTTTAAAACATTTTCCTCACCAGCGCTTTGGAAATTTCACAACGGAAATTTATTTGACAATATATTATTATTATAATAAAACTGCCTTACAATATTACCAAAGACCAAAGAAAACCAAAAAAAATTACCAAAAAAAAAACTAACATTTGCTTTCTAATCTTTTTGTATTATATCGGTTTTCTTTTCATTTATTATGCAATTAACAAAAGCAAAAATACCTCTAACACTAGCTTGCTCTATTCTTTTTCTATTCTATCTGTTTTCTTTTTATTTACTATATTATTTAAAAAAACCTTGCTACGTGTACTGCGTTAAGCTAACTGAGACTTGTTATAGCACTTGTATATCATTGCTCTTTTGTTGATTTTGATTGCTTCCACTGTCCTCATTTGTAAGAGCTTTGGATAAAAGTGTCTGCTAAATGACTAAATGTAATGTAAATGTAAATGTAATGTTTCCTCCAGTGAAAAAGTCCACCGACATATTTGTGTAAATCTGTTTTCACTTACAAACCATGCTTGATTTGTGCATATTTCTCTCCTGATTCAGACGAGAGACTTTTTCACTGGAGAAAGCAATATTATGGATAGAGGACTTGTTTAGCCAGAAACAATGTTTTGAAGTTCAAAACATCTTAATGTTGGATTTGCTTATTACAAACACTTAGCTTTCACTTCACAAGATGTTAACTAATGGACTGGAGTCATGTGGATTACTTGTGGATTATTATAAGCTGTTTGGACTCTCATTCTGACGGCACCCATTCGCTGCAGAGGATCAATTGGTGAGCAAGTGATGTAATACTACATTTCTCCAAATTTGTTCTGATGAAGAAACAAACTCATCTACATCTTGGATGGCCTTAGGGTGAGTAAATTTTTAGCACATTTAAATTTTTGAGTCAACTATTACTTTAAGCACAAAAACAGTTTTGAAGATAGAAAGTCATTTAAAATGAGAGTGAGTAAATGATGATAGAATGCATATGATTGATCTCACCATGCGCATGTGTGGGTCGTGTGTGTTTGCAGCAGTGTCCAGCAGGTGGCAGTACTCAACTTCCTCACACAGTCTCTGCAGGGTGTTCAAGGGCTCATTGAGTTGGACGGGCATGGCAACTTTCGACAGGTCTTTACCAATGTTACTACACAGAATACTCCACAGATTCACGCTCTCGTTCATGCGTGTACTCGGCAAACGGTCTCGCCGCGTCACTGCACAGTTGTTGCCGTTACCTGAAGACACAAAAACACACATAAACCATTAACTATGGTTGTAAAGAAAGGTGACGCTTCATAAAGGTGAACTTGGACAGTGCCTTACTTAAAATCTCCTTTGCGACGCCGTTCTCATTCCTGCAAAACTCCACTGACGTGTTGTCACTCACATCACTGACATACGAATCATCATCGGATGCCTGGTCACAAAAAAATACAAAATATAATGATCAGTAAGAAATTCATGTGTTTTACCTTCTTCTTGATGAAAATTTTTTTTAATTTAAATTTTAAATCACAAAATCACTGACAGATGATTCAGGCAAATCTGCGATTTGACCACTTGGCCTCTCTGACCTCATTCTCAGACGAGCTCCCAGACAGCAGATACTCTTTAGCGTCAAAAAACTCTGACAGGGATTCTGGGATTGACCCTCGACTCTCACTGGACACCTGCTGCCGGAGAGGGCGTGATCCAACGAGGACTTCCTGATCGGTTGAGAACATTTGAGTCATAATTGGCTTTGTTGATTTTGGCCAATAACAACTGAGCATATAAACAAATTTGTTGCCTATACCTTCTCGCTGATACAATCCAATGTGTTCCTGACTCGGTCTCTTTCTGTGCAAAGTGAAGTGTACGCTGACCGAAGAGTGGAATGAACTAGTAGAAGAAAAGAAAGGGAGAAAAGTGAGAAAGAGGAAAGAGTATATGTCATTTCATCATACTCTTCTCAAAAATTCAGTAGCCGATAACCGTACAAGTAAAATTTCATGATTATCGATACCAGTTTCGATACTACAGCAAAACTAATGTTACTGAACATTATTCCTTTATTTTAAAACATAGTTATTAATATAAATATCCCATGCATGTGTGCATTCATACTCACCAGTGCCAGCGAGCCGACAGAACTCCTCCTGCATTCGAGAGGCTTCTGTTGGTGAGTCTGGACTATCCAGGCATGAATCTGGTGAAACAGGCTCTGAATATATCAAGTTCGGGTGAGATACGTGCAGATGGGAAGATGAAGCATCAGGATTTGACTAGAAAACAACAGATCAGAGTTAAAGTGAATGAGAGAGAGTGTGTGTGATGCAGTGTCTGGGTGTGTACAATGCAATTAGAAAAAGAGCTATTTTACCTGCTGTGTGTTTTTATTTTCCTTGCTATAATTCTTTGATCTCCATTTTTTGTGCCCTCGCTTCTCTTTTTTGGAGCCTTCAGTCTGGGGTCACACACACACACACACACACACACACATTTACGTACATTTTTGTCTAAATAATGAGCTATAGATAAAAACATTTCATAAATCTAACCAAACCCAAACAGTGTACACTTTTGCATTTTATTATTAAAAAATTATATTTATTTTATGAATGAATAGTTTAGGATTTATCTGGATGTCCCCTAATTAATGTTTAATCAGATTTAATAAACCTACCTACACAGACCAAACATAAACACATATTTAATCCATAGATACAATGAAATGCATGCAAACAGCCCTACCTGCAGTAAGTTAATGGCAGGTGCTGAGAACGTTCTGTGAAGAACTTCCATATTTTTCAGCAGCAAATTTAATTCCAGCAGCGCTGACTCACACTCTGACAGATCTAAAAATGTTACAGTGTTTAATTTTTCCTAGAGATGATCAGGAAAACAACTTCTCTAAAATGTTCTCTATGTAGTAGTTGCACAGTAATTTTGCCATGAATATTGCAGAATGATGCGTCAGTGCAGGTTTTTCCATCTACCTTTGCAGCACTTCTCCATGTCTTGAGAGTTTTGCCACCAGCTGTTCTTCAACAGGGCTGAAGGCAGCTTGGAGAGAAATGAACGCTGGTAAAAAAAGAGAAAAAATACAAAATGTGTTATCTGCGTATATTGCTGTGTGACTTTCTGTGTCACTTGGAAATAATAGGAAAGAGTTATAGTACCATTAAAAAAGTTTGTGGTCAGTAAGATATTTCAGTGTTTTTGAAAGAAGTCTCTTATGCTGACTAAGGCTGCATTTATTTGATCATAAATACAGTAAAAACAGTAATATTGTGAAATATTGTTGCAATTTAAAATAATGTTTTTCTATTTTAATATATTTTAAAAGGTAGCTGAATTTTAACATGCTGATTTGGTGCTCAAGAAACATTTCTTATTATCAATATTAAATACAGGTGTAATGCTTATTTTTTGTGGAAATTATGATACTTTTTGTTCAGGATTCTTTGATTAATAGAAAGTTCAAAAGAACTTTATTCAATTTATTTAAAAACATATACAGTATATATATGTTTTTGAAACAATGTTAAAGTCTTTATTATGACTTAAAAGTCTTACTGACTTACTCAATATTGTTGTTGTTATTAAGGGTGCACAATATGCAACCCAGTAATTGCACATAAATGTGCACATCAGTAATTATTAATTTTATTTGAATTAGTGTTCAGTCTAGCGACATGATATTGTGCGCAAATTCTTATTACTTTAAATTCAAACTCTTTTCTTATGCCAAGTACCATAAACAAGCTAATTTTCATACTGTACATCCAGATGTTTTGATTCAACAAATCATGTAAAATTCCAGATGTAAAACTTTATTGATGTTTTTAAAGGCACAGTATAAAAAAACAGTATAAAACACAATTATCAGCCATGACATATTTTAATAACTGAAGTAGTAAACTGTCAGTTTCAGGCAAAATTTCAGCATCTCTCGTTATTATTGTAACTTTCCTTACAGCTTTACATGTTCTTATCCTGTTTAATGGGATGTTGGGTCTAAAGGCTGACTTTATGACGACTGTATAAGGAGGGTAAATACTCGTCTGTTGGCGGTGGGGTCAGATTGCAGCGGTCGCTCGGGAGGCTCCATGGTGATCTCGTTCTGACGGAACGTTCGATGATGACGTAGTTGAGTCACCCACTCCTCAAACAGATCCCGAGTCTTTGCCTGTGAATGTCACCATAAATACAGCTAATGTGCATTCTCAAAATGAGACCATGTGTAGGTGAGCATGTGTTGTTTGAGTGTATGCCAATACCTTGAGGTGATAGATACTATCCTCTGTGTCCAGGTCGATGCACATTGACTTCTTCTTCATGGCCATGACAGAGAGACCAACATCAATGCGACCTCGTAACCTCCCCTTCTTCAGCTGAGGAATCAATCACACGGTAAGCGACAAAAGAGCATCACTGACAGGATTTAAGCAAGTTTACTCCACATAGGCCTTAAAGGACGTGTGTGTAGCATGTGGATGAGACTATGTTTTCACACTCACATCAGTCCCAGTCTTGGCATATGTAAGGATGCCCCTTTCAAGCAGGAAATATCTCTGTTAAACATAGACAGACAAGGAGAAAAGCATTTTTAGCACCCTTAGGTGTAATATATATTCAAATGACAATATCATGTGATCACCTTATGCCAGCCTTTCATTGGCCACTTCCTCTTTTTCAACAGCAAACCTTCCTGCTTCTCAGGCTTCTGAATATTTCCTGTCAATCCTTGCAAGTCCTCAACCAACTCCCAGCTGTCCTAAAGAATAAGAAGACAAAAGAGGTTTAACTTTTAAAAATCTGTGGAAGAAAGAACATGTACTTTTTTATAAGAGAGTTAAAAACTGCTGATGTAGATGTTGATTTAAAGCATACAGAGCAATTACAGCAATACCAACTGCATCAAACGACCATCATATCCACTGCTCTGGCAAAAAATAAAAAAAAATTGCACACTAGGGCCTGGGTTCATAGACGGGGCTTAGCCTAAGCCAGGATTAGGCCATAGTTCAATTAGGACATTTAAGTAATTTTTTATAAACATGCCATAAAAAAGCATTAGTGGTGTGCATCTTAAGACAAAACAAAGACACTGACATGTTTTAAGATCAGTCAGTGCAAGTTTCTTTCAGTTGAAACAGCTCAGATTTACATTTTAGTATAGGACTAGGCTTAAGCCTTGTCTGTGAATCCGGGGGTAGATGTTCTTTCGGTTGAAACAGCTCAGATTTACATTTTAGTATAGGACTAGGCTTAAGCCTTGTCTGTGAATCCGGGGGTAGATGTTTTAGCAAACATTAATTAAGTCCTCAGTAAATATCTGAAGTAGTTTGTCTTACCTGTCTGTTGTCTTCCGATGAGGAGTTACTCTCTTTTCGTTGTGTAAATGGTGTTATGGTTGGTGTGGCGGGTGATGTCTTGGGAGACAGCGGTGCAACTTGGTCTTCTGTACTCATCTTGCAATTAACTTATTGTGGAGACAAAAACAGGCAATACTCAATACAAAATTACAGTACCCGAATTACATAATATGGCCAGCAGAGGGCAACAGAGACAGGCAAGAACAAGTGTGAGCGAGGCTAAGAAAGTCAGGAAATGACAAGTAGAAACTAAAGTTATGACAAGAAATATCTGCTTTATCCTCTTTTTTTTTTCTAAAAAAAAAAAAATTTGAAGGAATAAAAAGGAAATAAAAGAAATAAAAAGAAAAAATTATAAACTACAACAATGCATAAGACCAGTATGAAACGTTCATATTCCCAGGCAATCTGATACAGGCTCTAATTTTTTATTTCAATAAACTTGTTATCCAGATAATATTTTAATCATTTATTTTGATTTGTAAAATGTTAAAAACTATTATTTAAATGTCACAAACATAATTTTTATCCAAAGTAAATGGGTAGTCAAACATGAAAATATATAGCTTACTTGATACTTTAGGTCCTTGGCTCCAAAAAGTTTGAAAAACCCTGGCATAAAGAAACAAATGTCATTTATCAGGTTTGTTTTTATTTGAAGACACTATTTTCTCCCTCACTTGAGCTCCGTATGTGTGTGTGTGTGTGTGTGTGTGTGTGTGCGTGGTGTTTGGAACGCATTGTTTTGACTGCACGGGCACTTCCTAAACATGGCACACACTGTTCTTGTGCCACTATCCTTTTTTTTTTCTTTCAGTGGACCATGCAATATGTTCAAACTCACATTCCTATACACACACACACTCTCCCACATGTATGCATTTGTTTAAGAGCAAAAACAGCTGATGTTTCTCTCTCTCTCTATTTGAACATAACATTTTAATTTTAATCACATTAAAGGGTCATAAACATGTTTTTTTAATATGATAATGTACAAATATATCTGCATATGATACAAAACTATTACAGTGCTCATCTACATTAGCAGTATGTCATGATTATTCATGCGTGGCCTTTTTGCAATGACGAACTTGAAAGTGAGTTGAAATCATTCTGAAACAAGAGTTTGTTTGCATGGTGCAAAAAAAAAAGTGCTGCATGGTTTCTCCCACAAAAAAAGAAACAGGCTTTCAATCAATAACCAAAACTTTTAAAATCTTGCATCCAACATTTTTATGGAAGGGTTTCTAGATTTATGGATGTCAGGTGATTCATTCATCCACTTTGAGCACATTTAACAGATCAGATATATATACTTGTGCATCAGTGTGACAGCATAACAGTCTCAAAAGTTATTAAAAATGTAAAAGCTTATTCACATAGAGTTTTGATGCTCATTCATGTATTTTTTATGTACAGTATAAATGAAAGTGGCATAAAGGCATAAATGGCCTAAAGCATTTGTGAGAGGTTTTGATTCCGATACCTCCAAAAATGAACCTGACTGGACCACAGTTTTTGGAGGGTTTCATGACGCTTTAAAGGGGTCATATGATGTTATTTTAAAGATTGTGTATTTGGTGTAACAGAATATGTTGACATGCTTTAATGTTCAAAAAACACATTTTTCAAATTCATTATTGTAGTTCCTCTATGCCCCGCCTCTCTCAAACGTGTAGTTTTCTACAAAGCCCCTCCTTCCGACAAGCACAGTCTGCTCTGATTGGCCAGCTGACCCAGTGCATTGTGATTGGCCGAACACCACAAGCACACGTCGGAAATGTAACGCCCCTTTCCATAATCGCGAGCTTCAGCTTTCAACATAAATGTAAAGACAGTAAATAATATCCTTAGTTTTACCATCAGTTCAAGCCCGAAAGGGGAACAGAGTCACGTGACAGACACAGTGATGATGCTCGTATGTATTGGCAGTACACAAGCCGCAATTAAGAAAGCTGACTCCACTGTGATGTGACCCTGTCTCTTTCTCACGCACACACACACACAATGCAATACTCTACACGGCGCAAAACTCCACATTTGAACAGTCAATAGCAAATACTTAAACTATTAAGAAAACATACTTACAGTAGCTGATTCAGAATAAGCGCCAAATTGTCATAGCAAAGTTGGAATTGACCCATTTTTTTTTTTAAATAGCCTTTGCACAGCCAGCCTTGTAGGCTACTCTCCTAGGTTCACAAAACTGTCGTCCATAAAATGCGTTGCACAAATTCGAACATCTGGGTTGTGCTGTTCTGTTGTAAATAAATCTTAACCAATGATTCCTCATTGCATCTACTTTCGGAAGGCCAAATAAAGTGCTTTTGCTTTCGCACAGAAACACACAGTGTCTCCCTAGCATGGCTGCATCAACACTACTGCGGTTCCTGAAACCATGCCTTCTTTCTTTGCATGAACATTTGGGCGGCATTACTCAAATATTTCCACACTCATCTCAAATCGCATCATATGACCCCTTTAATTTGACATCACAAACCCAAACTGTAGAACTTATAAAGTCTAAATGTGAAAATATGACCTGCCATGTGAGAGACGTTTGCAATTTTTACAAACAGGTCTGTTCCATGCAACCAAAATATCCCACTCAAACAACCTGCAAACTACTTCATAGTGACCACAAACCTCTAAAAATGACTTTACCATCCACACCTACACCCATACATACACTGAAAAATCTTTAGGATAAAGCAATAAAGAGGGAGTATGCGGATAGGAGAGAGAGACAGAGTGAGAGAACGACACCAAAGACTACTAATGGTCAGGTCATTCTCATGATGAGTCACCAGGGCAAATTTGTGGTGAATAGACAGACCGCACACACAAAAGCTCCTCTTGTATATGTGAGCCACTCTAGCCTTGGGATAAACATGTTGTTATTCCACACATACACTCACAGTATGTTTCTGAGTATTCAAGGGCATTCACTTGCTCGCTTCTTTTTAAATTTATGTGTGTTTGAGAATTTGTATGTAAATACCGTTAACTCCAGCTCAACGTTACTGAACTCAAAGTCTGCTTTTTGTTTAGTTTGCAGAGCCAGACTTGTCTAAAGCTGGACTGAGGTGTATGTAGACGAGTATGCTTGCATGTCTGAAAACATGGTGGTGTTTAGGGAAAAATGAATTCCTGTGGTTTTGCATCTCCACGACATTTGTACACACTACAAACATTTCAGCCGGATTTGCACTGCATGCAAAGTTGATATATACTTAAGGTTATTTACATTTCTTCTAATCAGTGGAAATGTGTTGCTAAATCTTTTATGATAAACTCATAAAATCAAGACTCTCCCAAAATAGGTTAAGTTTCCTTGTGCAATTATAAGCTCCCACGGTCTCTTTTCAAGGGAGAGTCAGGAAGACATGCAAATAAAAAAAGGCAGTGTTTTCCTTTAACCCTTTTCTTTCCTATTATAATGCTGAGAACAGATTCAAAAGACAGTCACAGAACACAAATACTACAGCGATAGTAGAGTTAGCCATGATGCAAAGCGGGGTAAAATTACTGTAATGCACAGCCAGTCTTCAGTGTCACATGATCCTTCAAAAATCATTTGAATTCCTTTGTATATGGGACTTTGTATAGGTGTTATTATATGGCTTTTAAGTTGGAGGAAAAAAGTTTTTTTTCTTTCTTTAATTCAGTTTTTTTTCTTAATCTCCTAAAAGTCTAAAATACTCTAACTTTCTGACATGTATATTTACCCCTCTCTCTCTCTAGAATCAAATTACATTTCTGAGCCAGAACTATCCATTTAATAAAGCTTGTCAGTCCCTGATCCCTGTTAGAGTGGTAAACATTGCATGTGTGGCATTGAAAACAGGTTCTCTTGTCTGATGAGAGTGAGAAACCTATAATGTAAACATAGGAGAAGAGAACACCAACACAATATGGTCAGAGTTAGTTGTAGGGCCAAACAATGCAAAACCATCAACGGAAACTGACATTTTCCATACTGACTTTTATGGTGTGTATTGTGTAAAGCATAGAATGTGGGTGTAAGTACTAATGTACACACACACACACACAAATATGCACAAAATATGAGGACTGGCCCTTTACAATACATGTCAATAATTAACTCTACGTAAATTAGTCATTACAGTAAATGGTCTGTAGGTTGAGGGCTGTACAGTCAAGTCAAGTCAAGTCAAGTCAAGTCAAGTTTATTTGTACAGCGCTTTTCACAATACAGTGGGACCAAGGGCAAGGAAGCATATTGAAGATACAGTTATGACAAATACAAACTCATTTTAATGATTCCTCATTAGATGGGCAAGATAGATTAAAAGGAATAAAGTTGTTAGAGTTGAATAATGAACAGCTTATTGTGGGTGAGGGTCAAATGAAAAGTGCAGATGACAAAGTCAGTGACTTCATGAGGGAAAAACCAACACTGTAAAAAAAAAAAACTGACATTTACGGTAAAATACCAGCAGCTGTGGTTGCTAAAACTTTACCCAAAAAAAATATGGTAGCCACATTTTGGGTTTTACAGACTTAACTTAAATTCACAGTAAAAAAAACGTACTTTTGACGACCACTATCGTCAAAGATGATTGACAATTAGCATACAGTTTGGATTGGCGGTATGGTTCCGTTCTGGGCAAGAACTCCCTGCGCATCCATGCAGCCTAGCATGGATGAGAGCAGGGAGAGCAGCAATAACCCCCCCAGGGTAAACAGAACAGGACCAACATAAATGTATGCAGATATCGCTAAAGTTCAATAATGTTATGTACACATTTTAGAATTAGTCTGATTCAAAGGAGAATCAGAAGGCTGAATCCTGACTGACAGAGGAGAAGTTGGGGTTGGAGAAGGGTAATTAGCTATTGAGCAATGCGAAAACTGCTGATACTACTGCGGGACCTTATATATGAATGCTTAGATAGGTGTCGTATTCCCATAGGTTGATGGGGATCAGCTGAGAGTCAGCTGATGCGAGCTTGACTAACGTGACCTGCCAGAACTAACGCTACGCTTGATTTCATTATCTGATATAACGTTAATATAAGAACCGACTGAAGTACTAATATCTGTTTTGTACCATACACTGATAACTACCAAAAACAGGTGGTAATGAGAAAGTCACATGATGAACCAAAGCTCATCACAAGCAGCTTTTCCACAAGCTGAGGAGGTAAATTTTTATATGTGACCCTGGACCACAAAACCAGTCTTAAGTCGCTGGGGTATATTTGTAGCAATAGCCAAAAATACATTGTATGGGTCAAAATTATTGATTTTTCTTTTATGCCAAAAATCATTAGGATATTAAGTAAATATCCTGTTCCATGAAGATATGTTGTAAATCTCCTACTGTAAATATATCAAAACTTAATTTTTGATTAGTAATGTGCATTGCTAAGAACTTCATTT